GAAAACAGATAAAACGTCTGAATATATGACGATAGTTTAATTGGATAATGTTTATATAATACTGTAATATATTTTTATTCTAGAGTGTCAATGATATGACAGATGAAGATAGGCTTAGACTTTATGAAAAACATTTTAAGAAGTATACAATGGCGTGCAAGACATTGGGTGGCGCCTGTCATTATCTCAATCGACATTGGGTTCGACGCCAATATGACCAGGGCAGAAGAGATGTTTATGAAATTTATGAGGTATGCATATTTAGTTTTTATTTCTTTATGAATGCTCTTCAAAACTTAGCTCGCTAATCAAATTTGGAAAGAAACTTTCTTCAAACCAATATTTCCAAATATAATACAAACATGTTTAAATTTGATCAAAGAGCATCGTATTAATAAATTATCTATTGATATTGAAACGATTAAAAAGATTATTGAAATATATGGTATGTACATAAACAAAGGTTCTTCTTTTTTTCATTGTAACTGAAAGTTTCCCTTTAGCGGATGAAAATTTCAATAAGGAAATAAAGGAATCAATAGATAAAGATTCAACAAGTGAACCAATAACTGATATTTATAAACAATATTTTGAGATTAAATTTGTTCAAGATGCAGAAGATTTTTATCGTCAACAAAAAATTCTATGTCTCGAATCAAATTCAATCATGAAAGATCTTACTCAAGTGAATCTCTTTATTCAATTATGAAATTTGACATGAGAATTCTGTTCTTTGTTTATTATAGATATCAACAAATTTTGATGAAGAAATAAATTTTGCCAAGCTTTTCTTACCGAAATTTAAATCTACATTTCAAATGCTAATCAATAAATTAGAAGAAATATTCCTTCCTGATCATAATGTAAATCTTATTAAAGACAAAATGGAAACAATTGTATCAGCTGAGAATAGCCAAGGTGAAGATTGTGTTTTGTTTTTCTAATTAATAATAAATAACAGAATCTTTATATTAAGTGTAGAAATCAGACATTTGTGCGAACTAGTTCGTCAAATTCCAAAAATTAAAAGAGAATTGACACAATTGATCGAAAATCATATTTATCAATTTGGTATAAATACTATTGAAAAAATTAGTGAAACTGCAATTAACGTATGTTTAAATGTTATTTTCATAACTTTTATTTTCTTCTTTTCTATATTAGGATCCAAACTTGTATATAGAAACAATATTTGATATTTACGAGAGATTTGTCAAACTCTTTTGTACGGAACCAAGTTTCAATATTGCCTTAGATAAAGTAAATGTTTATATTTGAATTTCCATTTATTATTGAAACTATATAGACTTGTTGTAAATTTATAAATAATAATGCAGTAACAGAAAAATCTGGTACAACAACAAAATCAGCTGAATTATTAGCTAGATATTGTGATGCACTTTTAAAAAAAGCGTTTGCTACATTTGATTCAAATCTGATTAAAAAAAATTAATGAAATGATATTTCTAGAAATAAAACCATGAAAGACAAGAATTTTGAAGAAAAATTCAATAAAATAATGGTACTATTTAAATTATTCTTTTGATTAATCTTATCGTTTTCTTTGCAGATCGTTTTTACTTATATTGAAGATAAAGATGTTTATGAAAGATTTTATGGTAAAATGTTATCAAGACGTTTAGTCAATCAATTAAGTGCTTCTGATGATTACGAAAAATTAATGATATCGAAATTAAAAGTAAATAACTTATTTATCTCTATTATTAATCATCAATTTATTTTCATAGGAAACATGCAGTTTTCAATATACATCGAAATTCGAACGAATGGTACAAGATGTTGACGTTAGCAAAAATTTAATGGATGAATATCAAATATATTGTACAAATAAATATCTGAAAAGCATTGGTAATATATTTTTTTTTGAGTTGTTCAAAAGTAAAGTTTTGTCAGAGTTTCTTTTTTTACAGTCGATTTTTCTGCAATGGTGTTGAGTTCGAATTCATGGCCATTCTCACCTTTACCAAATGTTATTTTACCAATTGAAGTAATAATTATTCATTCCTTTTTCATCATTAAATATTTGTTTTAGTTGCAAGAAATATTTGATAATTTTAAAGATTTTTATACTCATCATCATTGTGGTCGAAAATTAATTTTACTTTATCAATATTCAAAAGGTGAATTACAAGCATGTTTTACTAAACAAAAATACACATTACAAGTAAGTATAATTGATTATCAGTGCAATTTAAAATAGAATTTGTAATTTTAAAGGTATCAACATATGAAATGATTGTATTATTATTATTTAATGAAAAATTGAATTGGACAGTTGAAGAAATACAAGATAAAACACAAATTCAATCTGATTTATTGCTTCAAGTTGTCTGTAGTTTATTGAAAATAAAAATATTATTTTCGAAAGAAATTTCTGAAAATTTTCAAGACAATGATATTAAAATGAATCACACAATTGAATTAAAGGAAGATTTTACAAGGTAAAGTCGTTTCAGTGTTAAACTCAAATTTAAAATTAGTATCTTTTATTTTAGTGAAAAACTTCGAATAAATCTTAACATGCCATTAAAATCAACTAAACAAAAAGATTTGAAATCTTTAAATAAATCCATTAATGAAGATCGTAAATTAGTTATTCAAGTAAAAAAAATCTAAACTACTTGACTTATGATCTTTGTTTTTTTTTTGTAGGCAGCGATTATTCGAATAATGAAAGAACGAAAAACTCTAAAACATTCATTATTAATGCAAGAAGTTCTTGAACATTTAAGCTCACGTTTTAAATCTGAAAATCATTTGATTAAAGTAAAATTATTTTATTGAATATAAAAAAAAAATTATTTAATGATATGAATTTATCTTCTAGAAATGTATTGATATATTAATTGACAAAGAATATCTTGAAAGAAATTCTGATAACAAAGAAATTTTACATTATTTAACTTAAGATAGATATTCATCATTATTAATCAAGAATGTTTTTTCTTTGTTTTTATTTTTTTTGGTTTACATTTATTTATCTTTTATGCATTGGAGTTGTTTCAAAACAAGACTTTAGAAATAAACGAGAACATAAAAATCTTTTCCGTTTCAATAAGAAGAAATCTAAGACTCTATTATTTAATTGACTGGTACTTTATACTCCTTGAATGAAGCACTTCTAAAGATACGATCCATTTTGCATTACAAAGAATTTCAACAATGAAAGGGAGCCAAAAAGTAGGAAAAATAAGTAAATCTCCTTGTACAACATTTGATTAAGTGTCGAAGATCTTTTTGTGGTTCCACTGACAGCATATTAAACTGTTCTGTAATTGTAGCCAATCGTGCATTCGATTCATTATTTCATTTTTGTATTGAGCTAATAAATAAAATATAATACTAATCTGAAATAATCGAAAAGCTCGACTTTCAAAGGATTACGTGCAGTAGAAAATATTTTTTGAAAGACCATTCATACTGTTTCGGTATTCATAGAATTTGTTTGTAGTCTTTAGTTTCGATCTTGTTGTGAATAAATTGATTTCAAGTTTTTCTTCCAATGAAATAATAGCAGTTTGCTTATCTAAACTGTTGTGTTCACATACGGAAGTTCTTTGTTCTGGAAATCGATTTGGTTTTTTATTTTTGTAGTCTTAATCTAGGATTTCCATCTTGAAAAATTCAAAGGAGACACGAGTTTTTTCATATCTATCTTCCATTTTTTATTGAAGTCTCTAACTATTTAACGAATTTTTTTATGTTAAGTTGCTTGATAATAGGGTGTGGAGGCAGAAGTGAATGATAGAAAGTTACATAAGGATGAACTGCTTGTTTGTTGAATGGGATGTTTGGAGAGAAGAGTACGAGTAAGAACAACACGATAATTTTTGATGACAAGACATTTTAAAAGTCTACTATTTATGTGAATATTATTATCATTGAAATTCTGAACATTACATTTGTTAACTTCATAGGATAGAAATAATTTTTTTTTTATTGTCACAAAGGTATTATCTATCAAATTCTCATCTAAGGCCATTGATCAATGAAAATCCAGTACAATCAATATGATTCAAGAGAAATTAATATTTTAATGATGATTTTGTGTACATTTGTATCTCAATTATTGATGCTGTTGTTAATTTAATGATCATGATAAACCTTTCGAACTTATCGGTTTAGCATTGAAATCTCAACTGGTTTAGATCTCTACCATCGTCTTTAATTATTGATTCTTCAATAGAAAGAAGGATATATAAGTATTCGAAAATTTCATTCATTTATGAATAAGTCTCATCATCGTCTTCTAATTTATTCACTTATATTTTTGTATTTTGAAAAATGAACACTTGAATATTAACACAAAAGTTGATACATACTCATATTACTGTAGCTCGATTAAAAAAGACACGAAACTACTGATCTATACTCTATTTGATCAGTAAGTACTTGAAGAAGACATATTCTCTAATGAATTCCAACAGAATATGTTACAAACAAAAGATTTCTGATTTCAAGAGAAGAATAATATCAAAAATCTAACTATCTTAGAAATTTGTATTTTCTATTATTTGTTCTGGATTTATGTCGAACTTCACCACAATGTCATCATTATACAACGCTTTTCTGTCAACTTCAAGACCAAAACTATCTCCGTAGACAATAATAGTATTGATTCCAGTTTCTTGATTGCGTATCGTTCTCACTAGAATTGATAATCCTTTCAATGATTTTAAATGTTTAATAACAAATAATTTCATTTGATAGTATCGATCTTTTTCTGGTCCAGGTTGAGTTTCATAATTCACTATTAAAACATGTCCATCATCCTTCATATCTGTTCTACAAAACATATATGTTGGTGTTCCATCTTTAGATTGACTTCTTTCTAAATTATATTGCGCAATCAATTTCATTTTTTTTCTCTATCCTCATTTGTTGGACAAAGTTATGATAATGATAATGATGATAGTAATTTGTAAACTTACCATTCACACAGTTTCATCAAATGTTTTGAATTTGGATAAAATTGAACTAATGAATAATATTCTATTGTTGCAGCTACATATTCAGCATTTCGTTCATGAGATATAACATGAAATATATCATGAAGAAAACCTTGTTCACTATTTGGAATTCTAGAGGATAAGTTTTTTAATTTTTGAACAATTTTTTTCAGATTCAATATTCAATTTATTGTGTAAAAATATATTCATTATTGCTAATAACAGATTTTTAGTCTTTCAGGAAGAATATTTGACGCTCTTATAAGTGTTGTGAAATAAAGATCAAGCAGAGTGTGGGTGTACATGTTGGTGTGTGCGATTCTTTTTCTAACCAGAACCCTTATCCACATCCTCAACAAGGCACTGTACTTCATTGCTCCCTATTGGATTGAACCGAAGATTCAGCGTAATAAGAACCTGCTCGTAGATGGAAAAACACATAGTGGAGATTGAGAGACAGTGATGATTACCGTATTATTGCGTCATACATTAGCTATATGTTGTGCTCCTCTTTCGTTGATTCGATTTTTTGTGAAGGTCCAGTGAAGTAAGTATCTACGGATACAAGAGAAGATGGGTATAGTGGATATAAACAGCTATAGTCTGCGACAATAATTGAAGCAAATTTATTTTTTTAAAGTTTTTCTTACAATTGCTTTCTCAAATTCGCTTTCACATTATTAAAGGGTACAGACCTGATTGAAATAGTGATATAGATAATATTAGACGATGGCTGCATGATGCACTATAATAGGAAGGAACTGTAACTGTCTATATAGAAGTTTCATAATGAAAAAGATTTTTTCACACACACATTGATTTAAATGCTTTCCAGTATTTCGCATTTTCTAACCAAGAGATTTTTGCTAAAATAAATACAAAACAGACCAATAGATAGAGAATATCACGCTCTATCAGTTTCTGTCAACCAATTTTTTTTCCACATAGTCCATCTGTACTTCCAAAATCTGACTTTAGTCACAAAAGGCAAAACACATGGAAAAGCGAAATATTTCAATTCTCATTGTATTTCGCTCAAATTTGAAGATAGGATGTAAGTATGGATGCAGATGAGGCTATGACTATGAGCACGCATGTGTGCTGTTGAAAAGCCATATGCACATCCTCTTATATTATAGCTTTTCAAATGTAGTTTCTCAAACTTTTTCATCAATTTTGTGTCGGGAAAATGTTTTTTATTAGAAAAAGGAAAGCAAAAAAGTGGCTGCCTTCAGAATTGCTGAAAAATTTGTTTAGAATTTCGAGTACGATACCTATAACTGCTGTATAATTAAATTTAAACCGCCAATATTTTCTTAATTTGGTAGATTTTCGCTTGACGGTTTGAATGCATGCCTAACAATTGAAATTCCACTGTAAACAACCCGTGAGGTAAGTTTGGTATCAAAAAGGTGGATTGAAAACCTTAAAAGAAACCTAACCACAATGTCCTATAATAGCCGATCCGATGTGCCTTGATCTCTTCTTTCCAATGATGAAAACCGCGGTTCCATATCTTGTTTCCATTAAAAATTATTTAAAAAAATATTTACTCGTGTTCTTTTTTGAATTGAACACCAATGCTACTCGCACATATGACAAAAAATAAATCTTTGCCGAAATTTCATTATTATAATATTAATTGAAGGAGAACCAAATACCACAGAAAAATAGAGAATTTTTTTCTTTATCGCTACATAAAAAAAGAAAACTTCCTCAAGCCTTCTATACAAAATTGAGATGCGACTACCACTACTTTTAGATTACCTTAGGTAAGAACAGATATATCAAGCGAAACATTTGCCAACAACATATTTATATTTTGAAATATTTCAAGATTAGATCGTTTCTGAAATATGCAATGCTCTAAACGATTTCCATCTGCAATTAAAAAAAAATCTAATTTCAGATTTAAATAGAGATCTTGAGAATTATCTGATAGTATAAAGCATATAAACTATCGTTTTGATCGCTAACAGCTTCCAAAATCTGCTTGTAGTTTTTCAGCTATCCGTTGCCATGATAGAAAAAAAATTGTACAACATCACATATCTATAAAAATTTTCAAAGATCGTATTGCTGAAAAAAGAGTAGATGTATGTACTATACATTGCAATAAATAAAAACTTCATTGCAATCGTGTTTATAACGACAGTTATATTTGCTAGACTTTTCATATTGACGAAATAAAACTGTCGTTTTTCTTTCGAATATCAGTTCAAAATGAGAAAGAATCTTAACTAATATTTGGAAGGTGGTATTATACACTACAAAAGAATTATCTATTGTAGATGAAACAGTGCAATTTGCAAACTACTTTTTTGCCTTAATTGTTCACTATCTCAACAAATTTTTTTTTCTTCTTGATGACATCACTTGTGACAATCAGTCCTATATAATTATTTAAAAAAATGTATAATAAACATAACCGAGAGCATTTGTACAAAATATTCTCTAACGAGATCGACAATAACTAAAACTGATTGTTGCTAGATTTATTTATTTATTAGAATCACATTATGAGTCCACAACCATCATCTTTGATTGAATAATAAGGTTGTTTATCAACAGATAATAGCAGTATTGGATGACATAATTGTCTAATAAATTGTGTTGATGGTGATATTAACATCCATGACTCTATAAATATAAAGAATACATTAACAAATTGTTAGATGAAAACGAAATTATTAAGTAAACAACAAAGATTTTCTTTTTCTTCATATCGCATCCTGAAATAAAATGCGGTCAAAAATATAAACGAACAGTAACTTACAAAAGGATCGCCATCAGTTAGTTATTCTGATCTGGCAGAGTAGTGATTAATAACGAATGTTGTATCAACAATGTCTCGTGAATGAAAACGATTTCTTCGTGGTATATATTATGCCACTTTTATGTATTGAGGGTAGTTAAGAAAATAAAAAGTGAAATGAACAGCAACATGACAATCATCAGTAAAAAGTGATGATGAACTAATACAATTTAAATCATTAGTATTAATAAAAAGAGATACATTAGCACGTCGAAAAATAGGCATAACATTTGAAGATGTCAGCGTTTGTAAAACTGTCTATTCAGTTGTAAACGATGTCCATAGTTTGCAATGAAAAACACAGATATGTGAGAGGAGCGATCGCAGTAGTAATGGACCAACGTGTCCCATAATAATTCATACCCACGTCGAGAGATTAAATTGCAGGTAAATGAATAAGAAGAACATTATTTATTAATGATATCATGTCACCAATTGAATATTCGAATGTAATCGAAAAACCATCCTAAAAAAAGCAGTATATAAATATCAGTGCATTAGTAGTGAAGAATTACGCTAAGTAGTTTTTTGGTTGTCAGATTCAAAGTAATAGTACTTTGATTGAAAAAGAGATCAACAAGTTGAAGATTCTATTCAACTAAAGTCTTTATTAGCAATTAATGTCAGATGTTTTGAAATTTTTCTGATTCATAGAGAGTTTTCTCTAAACCATTTATTGT